ACTTCCGCGAGCTGCTGTGCGTTGCCCCTGCTGCGGGATCAGCATCAGGGCTCAGCGGTGCTAAATAACGCTTCCGCAGCTGAACAGGCATGGGGAGGAAAACCAGTGTCATCTCAGCAACTCCTCTTTACCCAGCGGAGGTCAGGGCATGGTATAAAGGCAGGTTGGGTGCATTTCCAGATTACAGACCACGTCCTTCTCTCAGTCGTGTCGTTTTCTTGCCAGGGAACCAACTTGCAATGATCTCGGTGCCTTGCTCACTGATTTCACTGAAATTTCACTGATTTACACCAGTATCAGCAACAGGGGAGTAAGATCCACGGTGCAGGAGGCCTCTGGGATAAGGCCTGCTCCACCGAGACAACGATGGATGAATGTGAGACCATAAACCCCCCAATAAAGTCCCCGTGGGCCAACTGTTGCCTTCAGTTACGGCACCGCAGCCCCCTACCTACAGCTTGGCAGAGCTCAGCAGACTCTGAGCAATATTTCCCGGACTATATTAAGAGAGAAAAGGGAGAAAATACTGAGCCGTGTTATTTTCTGCTATAAATAGGTTCAGCTCCTCTCGTTTGGACCCTTGCCTGACGATGTCTGCAGAAAATGTTGGCCTGCTGGCAGGGCAGCAGTGACCCAGAGAGATTTCATCAAGGGGTGGAAAATATGGGAAATCTTTCCCAGGGTGAGCCCAGTCGTTGCCTCAGGTACAGCCCCAGCGCAGCAGCTTCAGTGGAAGGGCCTCGGCGTAGTGGGGAGTGTTGGCAGAGGAGCTGGAGTGAATCAGACTTGGGGGGGAGGGAGTGTGAGAAGTCACCGGCTGTTTGCTCTGCCGGAGATTTCCACCCCCACAGCCAGTGCTGGTAGAAACATGTGCCTCTGCTTCATCCTTCTCTCTGCATCCTCTGCCGTCTTCCCTACCTTCAGCAGCGCCCGCCCCGGCTGCCGGGATCCCCACTTCCAGTAGAAGGGGAGCAAATAAATACTGGGGAGATGGGTCTTAAACCACTCCAGCTGTCTGCTGAGAAAAAGCCAAGCCTTGAATTTGGGATTTGACACAAGGTTTTTTAGTATTGGGGGTTCTGGAAACAGCAAAGTGCCTGCTTTGTTCCGGGGCACAGTCTGGATCCCCTGCGTAACCCCCAAAGTCTACATCTTCCGTTGCCCTCACACCCTGCAGCTCGGGTACAAGGTCCACGGGCACTGAAGGGCTGTTAAAGCTCAGCCACAAGCCTGCAAAATACTTCTGCTCCTGCTTCTCTTTGTGTATCTTTGTGCAAGAGGAGGGATAACGTAGACAAATATTACCAGGAAACGTATTAATTGGGTCTGAACCTCACCTGATGTTAGTGGAGGCATGCTGCTTTACATCATCTAGCGACGTGAACCTCGGGTTGTTTTAGCTTCTTTTTAAGGTAATTTAATAAGAAGGAGCAAGGAGAGGCAGCAGCGAGTGGCCAAAGGGCTCTCTGCCCCAGCTAACACCCGTGCTGCACGAGCAAAGCGGCTGCTGCAGAGGCATTCATCGGCGGAGCAGAAGTAAAGAGGCAGCAGCAGCCTCCCACGCAGCTCGGGTAATGACAGGGTAGCAGCCAGGATCATTGTCTTATATATTAACTAAGAAAGCAGCCACCTTCTGAATTTGCTGCACTAATTGCCATGTTGCGGTGTACACAGCCTGCTCCTCTCCCGTGCCCCACCATTTCACCCAGCTCCCCCATTTTGTCACCTTTACCGGCAACGTGTTTATCACCATGTAGTGCAATATCTTATATTCCCAATTAGATCATTTATACCTGCAAACCCTCTTCCCTCTTCAGGAATTCCTGCTTCCTCACACCACAGGCTGGCAAGAGCCAGCCCCTACAAAGACTTTTCTGGAAACTAGTCCAGTCCCATTACATCCCTACTGAACTCAACAAATCTTAAATCAACAAGTGCTATCCATTTCCTGAGGTCAAATGTTTCTTTCAGTTCTATTTTAAGCCAGTGAAAAGAAACTGGAGGGAACAAAAGCTGTTTAGATACTTTCCAAGCTGCGACGGGAGGCTCATCGGGGCGCCCGGCTGGAAAGCTGGGCTCGGTGGGAGCCGGCGACCGCGCCGCCGAAACACCCAGCTCCTCATTTCGGTCCTATTGTCGACACGACCAAAAGATGTGCCGTTTCCCCAGCCTACCCACATTTAGGAATGAATTGGCTTGGCGTGCCTGGAGCTGGAGGATCCACGGAGCAATTAGTAAGCGAGGAGTCGATCATCTTTGTTTTGTCACTAGACCTCGGCGCGGTGACTGAGGTCTGACTCATACTGACGCTCAGTTCCTTTTATACGACAGAGCAAATGCAATCAAAACCCGTGTCCGTCAGTCTTTTCTGCTCTTGGACTAAGTAATTGATTTTTAGCTGGGTTTCCCATGGTAACAGGGCTTTCTGATCACCAGCTGCACGTGTTGGCCCTAATAGCTTTTGAATCCACTGCTTCATTTCAGGCAAACGCGACGGCAAGATTGAGGTCTGCAGGATAATTAAGTCCCTACAAGTTTTCTGAAAACAGGCTGTGTGTGGCAGACCCTATTAGTGCCACATCGGTACCTTCACCGCAGATGGAAATTCAGTGACTTTAGAGACTCCACCAAGGGAAAAGCTCTTGTGAGTACCTTAAAGTAGGTACCCGCTTCACCCGCTGCTTGCAACCACCTGCGGGATACAAATCCACAGGAGACCAGGCTCCCTCTGCTCCGAGTGTTCCTAGAACAACTCGCTATTTTAAGGGAACATAATTGGTGTTAAATAACAAATCAGTATAAAATTAGGACTGGGTATGAGGGTGCTTCACAGGAATCCCTGGGGAAACATACAGGAATTTGCAAAAACCGGTGGCTGTCTGAGCACAAGGGGAAAACGAATACAGAATCTTCTTCTTCTAGGTTAGAAGGGACCTTAAAGATCATCTTGTCCAACCGTCAACCTAACTGACAAAAATAGACACCTGCACAACAAACAAGAAGCATCACCATCACTAAACCATACCTCCCAGCACTACATCAACCTGCCTTTTGAACACCTCCAGGGATGGTGCCTCAACCACTTCCCTGGGCAGCCCATCCAATGGCTGATAACCCTTTCAGTGAAATAAAAATACTGCCAGCAAAACAGAATGTGGATCAGGAAAATATGTATGTGCAAACATTGTTCCTTTCTCTGGCCAGCCAGGCTCTAACTTTTACTCAAAATTAATGGCATTTGACTTCAGGGAGGGTTTTTAGTGAGTCAAGATGGCATAACTTCCCCCAAAACACAGGTCAAGAAGGAAGGTGGCAGGTCCCCGGGTCGGTGTGCATTGGCTCCGAGGTACATCCACATCCACTGCAGGCGCCTGCTGAGCTGCCAGCCCTGAGCTCGCTGTTCCCCACACAGGTATCGGATCTGGCTGGAGCATCCCCATATCCCAGCCCATGGCCTAGGGCCCTGCCAGTGGAGCTGACTGGGGCATCTCTCTTCCTGCATGAACAACCCCTAGTGTGACACACATGGTGCTGCAAGCTTTTGCCGTGCCCTCATGAAGCACCGTGGGCCGGCAGCTGCCCCGAGTGTCTTGAGGCTGTGTTAAAAAAAAGACCCTGTCCCATCCTCGGGGAGTGTGGATGGAGGTGTGTGGTCAGGCTTACCAGTGTGGGATAGAGGTTGCTTTGGCAGACTCATCCAGTGCCCCTCCACAGGTGGGCAGCTGTCCCACCACAGGGGATGGGGCAAGAGCTCCTGCGCAGGAGGATGGGAGGGACCGTGCTGTTCTCCTGGGGCAGTGGGAAAAAGGAAAAAAAAAGTGGTCATAAGGGAAAAGTTTGGTTTAGTTAGGAACCCAGTGTGCCAGACTGGTGCCTAAATCAGAACCGTTAGGCTAAAGCTTCCCTGGGGCCAGGGTCACCGCGCTGCCAGGCCAGCTGTACACAGCCCCTTGAGCTGCAGGGTGCTGGGGCCGGACCAGAGCACCTCATCCCTTCCCAAAACACAGAGCCAGCCCCCACCTCAGACCCCTGCCCAGTCCCAGCTGGGCCAACGCTTTATCCCATCTAGATTTCACATATAAAATTCCCCATTTCTGCTTCCCCGATCCCTTGTTTGCTGCCTTCACAGCTCATCCCCCATCTGCCCCCATTTTAAAACCTCCCTCCCTCCCTTTTTTCTCACTAGCTCTTCTCCCGGTGCCACTTCTCCCACCCACACTACAGCCTCGTTTGTACCTGGTCTGACCAGGCTTGTGCGCGAAAGGATTAAATCATCATTTGAAACTGATCCAAGGGACATCACTGGGCAATGGAACCTTAAAATATTAACTAAATCAGCCGCTTTGTGCTTCGGAAGTCATTTTTCCTGCATTGCAGATGGGGGGTGTGTGTGGGGGGGGGTGAGTGTTCTTACCGTTTACCATCACTCTTCCTCTCTGTGTGAGCTGGCAGGCAGAGGGCGTGCAACGTGCTGTTTGCTGATGAAGAATAAAAGCGTGAGGTACACACCTTTTCTTCTCTGCGAGCTGGAAATCCAGGGGCTCTTTTATGTTGCGCTTGGAACATTTGACTCAGCAGCTGAATTCTACCCACCGCCTCCAAACCTCTCTTCCATAGGGAAGATTTGGATGGGTGCAGGCAACAAGTCTTCAGGGAGGGACTGATGCAGAGGTTTTGCACTCCCGGGTAGGATAGAGCATGTCCCACTAAGTGCTTCTCCCCAGGCTCCCACACAGTGGTGGCCACAGAGCCCATGTCTTTGTGGAACCACTGGCCTGTGCTCATCAGATTTCAGCCTTCAAAGTCTCAAGGTTGGAGCAATGCAGAGTTAACTGCAGTCTGGGGAAGCCAAACGTTTTCTGCCTCCAAGAAGTAGCTTAATTGTGCATGGGATGTTTGGTGAAGGGAGAAAGAGGTCTTTCTGCTGGGGCTGACAAATTCACTATGACCCCACCCTGTAAGTGAGCATCACCACAAACTCTGCCACAGATAGGCTGGGACTCAGACACAGTACATGTTTTATTATTAAAAAAATGCATAAAAACTAACAACATGCTTCCCAAAGTTAGAGTCTATATGTACATCTGCGCTTCCCAGGCAGCTGCAGGGAGCATAGCCTTCTGCCTTCACTGCAAACGTGCACTGCACAGGTTTCTTGTTACCCTTTGTTAGGTGTTATCTTCTCACCTGCATTTACAGTATTCCAGCTAAACGAAGAGAAAACTCTGTACTGCCTGGGGTATAAGACGGTGCAGTTTGTATCTGCAACTGAGAAACGGTACCGAACTTTGGGAGACATCTGGAGGACATCACTTTACAGAAAGGACCCATGCCCACGCCCCAGGCTGAAATTCCCCTTCCCTAGGAAGTGTTCTCATTAAGGGCTGAAACTGGACCCGAAATTTGTAGCTAGCCCCAAGCTTTACAATACACAAATACAGGGCATCAAAAGGCGGAGTGTTCTGGTATCAAGTCTGCAATCTCTTTTGACTTAACTGGTCCCACCTTTGCCAACTCAGCAAATGATGACGTTTGTGGAATTCGTTTCTGAGAAAGAGCCAAGTGGAATCTTAAGTCTTGTGATACTACTGAGTTTTCAGCGCACTGGAAATAAAAAATTAAGATCTAGCAAATATTTAGGATCAGTAGAGTAAGATGTAACTGCACTTCCTTGCTGAGAACCACTGCACAAAACAAATGCTGATTTACAGTAAAATATTATTAAATTATTAAAAACCACACAAGCACTTGCAGTTATAGTGAGTCAGACATGCTGATTGGAAAACAAAACAAAACCTGAAGGGCAAAACCATTAATTTTGCCCTATCTGGAAGGCTGCAGTGATACTAGTCTATGTTCTGATGTGACTTTTACAGCATGCCAGAAGACCTCCTAACTAGGAAGGCCAGTGGTTCTCAAGCTTTCTCATCATGAGGACTCTCTCTTCAGAGAGATCTCACAGTTAATCCCTTCTCCCCAACACACACACACCTTCCCAAAACCAATTTCACACTGTCACTGCAGCAGCTACAGCACTTGGTTATTTGAAAAAGTCATAGGACTGTTAAAGAGAAAGATTAAACGAGTCCTATTTTAAAGCAAATGCTGAATCCTGCTCCCGCTGAAACCGAAGCAAGTCTGCCATTCTGTAGCTAAGCTGTCTCCTTCCTCTCCTGGAGGGCAGCACTTAGTATTAATTAGCACTGTTTCCCCATACTGCTGTTAAGTCCTCTCTACACTGCTTCCTTTCCATCCCTTTGAAGTTGGATTCTGTCCTCACACATGCCAGTTGCTCTCCCTCCCTTTGCATTTTAATGCCAGCTGCAAGTCTGGTCAGGCCTGAATTGGCATCAAACAGAAGAAAGACATAAAAGAGATATGTGGGGTGAAAAGGGATGCTGGATTTTCATTTTTTCTAATTTCATCGCTCACCAAGGTGTCTGAAACTCTGAAAAGAGCCCCAAACTGAGGAAGCAGCAAGTGTCACTGCATGAAGTAAGCCAGATGCTCAAATTCAGTGCTGGGTAGAAGCAGATCTGCAGATCAGTTTGAGAACCACTGAGGTAGGCAACAAGTCTAGGCAGTACTGCAGAGCGAAACACAAGGGGAATTTTGCCCTCTTGTCCTGAACGACAGTGTAAATACCCACTAGTGTTTTCAGAGGTACCAGTCCCGAAGTCACGCAGCCAGGATCGAAGACAACATCTACACAAGAGCGAGCACTGACTGAACAGAAGGTGTGTTCTGCTCTGCTCCAGCCATCAGAGGAGCAGACTCTCACTGCCCACCTTAGCTCTGAACTCCTTTCAGCTGGATGCAATCAATCTGTAACCCTACAGCCCACCTCCCCCAAATCCAAGGGGTTGTCAGGGTTGTGGTCCTTCCGAGCCATCCACCACTGCAGCCCACACAGGTGGTGAAAGCTACAAAAGCTGCCCAGGAGTACTGTTCAAAGCCATTTCAGATCCAGCATCAGAGCCCCAGGCGACACGGCGCTGCGGCTGCACACATCCCATCCCAGGGAAGCAGAGTGTCACTGCTATGTACAGGCTAACAACTTTTCTCTCCTTCTGTCTCCAGCTCACACAGAAGGCTTTTGTCCTCCCCTTCCTGCCCATCTGGGTGCCTTTCACCCTCGGCATCATCTCCAAGGCACAAGGGGCTCATGATGTAGCGATAGTCACTTGTGACAGCAGCAGCTGCCCCAGCAACAGTTTCTTCACCGTCCGTGTTTCCAAAGGAGGCGTGCAGGGCAGGGTCACTCGTAGACACCTCTTTGTCCTTCCCAATGTTGACATAGAGAGGATCTTGACTGGAAGAGAGCGCGGACATCCTCCCCCGAATCATCTCCAGCTGAGAGCGGAGCACTGCGAAGCTGGGGCGTAGCTTGGGCTCAGGATGCCAACATCTGCACATGAGATCGTAGCTGCAAAATACAGAGGGAGACAAGAGCACTGAGAAGCAGAGCAGCCACCCTCCAAAGAAGGTCTCCACGCAGTGCAGCTTAAAAAGCACAGACACTTTCCTCAAAACCTATCACCTTTGGCCTTGCACAGGTAACAGCACATGGGCAGCCATCATGCGTCTAACTCCTTGTTCCTTTCCATTTTCAAAGGCATTCTTTTTGGTCAAAGTAATTATTTAGACAGTACCAAAAACCCCAAAAGCCCTGTCAAAGGATGCTGAACTTCTTGGTAAAAACCTCCTTCTGCTGTCTCTGAAGAGCTAGAATAGGACCGTGAGTGTGACACCACTTAGTAATAGCTTATGAATTTATTCACACAAAGCATCCTGACAACCTGTGCTGCAGCTGAAGCCATCCCTAGAAATTCTACTTCAAAAGCAGATTAAAACACAGGAAGCAAGTAAGCAAGCAGAGATCCAGCTGAGGGAGGTGAAAGTTATTTTCCAGAATATTCTTTTTTCACAACGTGTTAACTCAGCGCTCTCGGCGTCATGGAGCTGTGCCGCTGGTGCTGCCTGACCGGCTGCCAGCGGGACTGGCAGGAGGCACAGCAGGTTTGTTTAGAGGGCTGTGGAGGAACATCTGGAAGATGGGATGCTGAAACAGCCTTTCTACTACGTGTTCAGTGCCATCACCAGCCTCAGGCCCTGTCCTGCAGTGTTTCTCTTGCAGTCAAACACCAGCCACCTCAGCTCTGGTTGCCTGAGGGCCAGCATGAGGAGATGCTGCTGGCTCCCAATGGCCTGGGTTTGGGCAAGGGGCAAGGAGCTGTGCTCCCTCTGTGGCCACCTTCACGGCCCATGGCCGGCACTGGCTGGGCTCCCACTGGGCTGGAGCATGGCCAGAGCCATTGTCCTCCTCCTCCTCCTCTTTGTGCATCACCCACAAGACTGGCAGCTGCATTCCTATGGCAGCATTGTTGCCAGTTCTTCAGGGAAGGGGAACAAAGCACAGTGCTGGCACTGAGAAACACCGCAGACAAACGAACCTCAGTTAAACTTGTAAATGGAAAAAACCCGATATGGCCCTTACTGGGAAATAAAGCATTTCACGATGGCTTTTATTTTACTTTCTGTGTCCCTTGCCGGCTATCAGCTTTACAAGACTGTTTTTGGTCTCACGCTAGTTTTACAGAAAGCTTCTATGCTTCAGTCATCTTAATCCTGATTTAGGTCCCTCACAAACAGTAGAAATAACTCTAAAAGCGCCAGGTAAAATAGAAACTTCCTATTCTGTGATACCAATTATTTTACCCTTGCTGGCAAACAGCAGAAATTCATTTGAAAGAGGTAGAAAACTACTGGCTGTACTGGGTCAGCCCAAAAGTTCAATTGCCCCAGTACCCTGCCTCTGACAGTGGCCAGTAGCAAACGGGAAAGCACATAAACTGAGGGTGAGCATGCAACGAGATCTTTCTGGTATATTCTCTCAGGTCTCAATAACCTGTAGCTCAAGGGCCTCTTGATCTTTTTAGTAGTTTTTGATGGATTTTTCTTTAGTGCCTAGCAGCTTTCTGAATCTCTTCTCTACTTTTGGCCTCTACAACATCCTATGGCCATAAGCTCCACATCTTGGAACCAAAGCCACTCACAGCAATTAAGGTGCAGACGTACACTGAATTTAAGCAGTGGTAGAACCATGTTTTCATTTAAACTCGGGAATAATTACAATGAACTGCTGAGAAGAAAAAAGTGTACAGCTTTAATAACAAGTGTACAGATTATTCCCCAAGTGGAAAAAAGGCTGGAGAAAGGAAACCGCATGGAATAATCCGTCATTACAATGAGGAAAAAGGGAGGAAAGAGGACTTCATGTTGTCGATTTCACACACAAGGAATGGCTTGAAAAGGCCACTAAAGTCAGTGCTCATAGTTATGTCTTGCTTTGGTCAGGATGCTAAGAAATGTGGTTGGGCGCTCAGTGAAATGATTTCACCTTTTCCGGGCCAGGCAAGCTTTTATCCTGGGAGAACTTAGGGTGACACTCCCTGGGGGATTTCAGCCTCATGTATGGATTCCAGGAAACTCCAGCCACCATCCATGGTCAAAGGTTCCTGAGTAACCATTTCACGTAATCTGCTGGCCAAGAATGGTCCCTTGGCTGCTGGACTAAGGCACGAACACAGGCTGCAGCCTGTGGCTGCCTACTCCCCACTGGCCTACCTGAGACCTTCCTGCAAGTCTGACTCTGAAACCAGTATCTGCAAGATTGTCCCGGTTTTGTTTCCACCTGTAATTTAAGGTGGGACATTGATCTACAGAACCTTAAACCGTCCTATCTGCCCTCTTCTCTTTCATCCTGTTATTTCTGTGAGAGCAGTAGATCTGATTTTGAAAACTGGGCCCAGCTTTGAAAGACACGTGCAGGCCACTGCCTCTGCAGCCCAGTTTCCTCGTGGTCTTGCTAGATTGCTCTTCTATTCAGCCACAAAACTCATCTCTTCTCTCAGGTGCTGGCTATTCAGCCACAAAACTCATCTCTTCTCTCTTCCCTGAGAAGCTAGGGAGCAGTGAGTTTCTGGAAACACAGTTAAGAGTTTCCACAAAGCCAAGAACTGCTAACGTTGATGCTGTTCAAATCCTTGAGCCAAGTTAGCTGCTCGTGTAGCTACCAGAGGTTCCAGGGAGCCCTGCCAGCAGAGAGTATCTGGTAGCTAACCCAGAGACTTTCTAGTGAATGGCTCTGTGTAATGGGAAGCGGATAGACTCAGATCAGCATCCCAGCCAGCTGCCCCCGTTTCCTTCCAGCGAGCCAAAGTTCTCAAGGAATCACATGTCAGCAGGGCGAGGAAGTACTCACACATCTTCCAGGCACTCCGGCGGCTGCTTCAGCCTGTTCCCGCTGATGAGGTAGTTGTAGATTTCTGCATTCTCAATGCCAGCGTAAGGGGTTTGCCCTCGGGTCACAATCTCCCACATGGTCACCCCAAAGGCCCACTGAAAGGGAACAGCACACAGAACAAGTGAACAGACAGTTCCCTGACGGCCGGGGTGGGTTTCAGTATGTTCAGACTGTGCCGACCCTCACAGTCCAGGGCAACGTCACCTGAGCAGCAGTGATGCAAGGACTACCCAAACTAGCTAGAAAACAAAGAAATGACCCATCAGATGTGGCTGATCCTGACACACCATCTTGGAAGAGAGCTGGCTCCATCCTGCAGTGGAGCAGGTGAAGATTTGGGAGCTACTGCTGTCTTCTACCTGTAGGCCTCCCCCAAGCATCTCCTACTCGTGGCTCTTTAAGGTACACAGTATCAGTTTTGTGGTTCCCAGATACAAGAAGATTTTGGTTTGGGGCTCACAAATCAGTTTCTTAATTCATTGAGCCATAGTTTGCGTTCCTGGAAATGTACGGGCACAAATGAAAGAATTCAGCCAATAAGCAGGGCAAGGAACAGACCAATTATGGCTCATGTTCATTTGCGCTCTATACTGCAATAGTCATACTTGTACATTTAAACTAAACTGCAAGGTTTGTTGGGTGCAAAAAAAAAAACTATTTTCATAAGAAAAACCCTGTCCAGTGTCTACTATAAACTGGCTGAAATAGCCATCACTAATCACTGAACACTGCAGTGGTTACAGCAATCACTGGGCAACCCAGCAGCCAAGGTACATGGCACTCTTGGTGATCTCTTCAGGGACACTGTGACATGGATAACTGGGAAGGCAAGTCCACAGGCCTGAAGGACAAAACTAGTGTGAAATCAGATCAAAAGAGAGCAAAGAACAGGGGAGAAGATATCAGAAGTAAAAAAAAAAAAAACCAAAACCAAACAAAAAAAACACACACAAAACAAAATCAAAACCAACCAAACAAAAAAAACCCACAAAGTGAAAGGAAGCAAAAGTGTCAGATGAATGGGTTTAGCCTCACTCCCCATGGGTGAAGTTATGGAGTGTCTACACACTGATATATTCAAGATTTATGATGTTCCACCAATGCCTTGTGCAGGACAGAGTACCTTTGCTGTACTGGTATATGAGTATGTGGCTTACATGCATTTCAAATGTCACCTTCAAATTGTCATACAGAAGAAAAAGGAAAGAGTAAGAAAGAAGAGACTCTCAAGGCAGAAATAACACTGTCCTTCAAACACAAGGAAAACTCCCTTTCTCATCACTAGGGCTTTTTCCCATGCTCAGTGAATACAGGGTTCCTCCACTGCAGGAGGAATACAGGTGGTCCCCAAATGTACCAGAGCAAAACTCACCACATCACTGTGTGTTGTGTACAGATTATCCGCCAGACTTTCCAGAGCAAGCCACTTCACTGGCAGCTTGGAAGCACAGCCCTGACGGTAGTAGTCTCCACTGTAGATTTTCTTGGAAAGCCCGAAGTCTGCAACACTCACGTTCATGTTCTCATCCAACCTTAGGGAAAGTTTTAAGGACTAAGAAAAGCATTTACTGGCTACCCCGGGCAAAAAAAAAGAGGTATGTCCAGGACTGTCTGGCCAGGGAATTGAGGTATATCATTCACTAAGCACTGCCCAGAGGGATAACGACTTTATCTAATTGATGACCAATGTGAAATAGTTTAGACATCTCAAGTCAGTTCCTTGAGACCAACAGGGAGATAATTAGGACTAAGGAAGTAAGGAAGTGGCCATGCTCATATGGTCTACTCTGTCAGCTAAAGTGAGCTCAGATACTTTCTGTAGTTTCCAAGATTAACAGAGGACATCTGTAGTGCTCATTGCTACCACTAAGGCCTACACCCTGTAGAGGCAACTAAAAAGCATAGGTCCTTGGCTAGACTGCCCAGACTAGATCTGCAAGATCTTCTCTCCAGATCTGGTTAATGCTCTGAATTTCCCTGTCACCCACTTAGACCTAGACACAATAGTAGACAGAGCAAGTAAAGCCCACAAAGACTTCATGCTCCCAGGTCTCATAAAGGACTCCCTACTTCTCCCAGAAGGTATGATGAAATAGGCATTCAACTTGCTCTGAAGGAAGTCTGCATTTTTTTAAATGTTTAAAAATAGGTAATCAGTATAGGTTTCTCAAATGTCAAAGCAGGCTAAGCCATCATTTTTCATTATGGCTATCAGGGTCCTGCCTGTACATCTAGACATTCAAATACCTTTGGAAATCTGTGTCTCATTGTGGATTTTACTGGTTGTCGTGGTTTTGTTCAGAGGCAGAGTTTTGCCTGCCAGAATGGGTTGTTCCTTACTCCGTTCTCAGGGAAGCAGCAGAGGGAAAAGCATAAAAAAAAAAGGACTTTTCTTCCCTTCAAAGCAGGCAAGGCGGTTTCGGGACAAGAACAGCAATGTGGAATTATATAGTGTGTTCACCAGGCAATTATTTCTAAAGGCATTCTCCACATAAGCCATTCTTCACAAGCTTTTAGGGAAATTCTACATTTCTTATACTGTGATAATCAAGTCCTCAAAATAGATACAAGAAATACATATTTCAGGCTACAATGAAAGTTCCTTTCTCCTAACACAGCCAAACCCCTGCTCTCCTGTTGGTTACATTATATTGTGGAACAAATAGCCCATGCTGACACACAGCCACTAGAGTGACTAATTACAAACACATATTGTAATCAACCCGATGAAAATACATGTGCAAACCAATGATGGAAAGGTTCCTTATAAATAGGGTCGATTTGGAAGCTCAGTGGGATACTAAGAGTTGTTCCCTACCTGCAGCACCAGCACCACCACACACCCCCACCCTCGTGGCCATGGCTCCCCTATGGCTATTGTCATTTAAATGCAAGGATCAGCATCCTCAGGCAGGATCCCTCCCCACTTCTGTCATATGAGAGGCTTCTCATCCCTCTCTCACCCTCTTTCTTTCCTCTAAAAACTCATGGGTCACTTACATGCAGTTCCGAGCTGCGAGGTCCCTGTGTATGAAATTTTTTGAGCTCAAGTACTCCATCCCACTGGCAATGTCAATCATGAACTTGAGGAGTGTCTGAACAGGCAAATTCTGAAAGAAATAAGAGTTTAAGTTCTATTTCTGGAAGCTTTCAAGTATGTATGGCAAAACTGCAAGATCTGCTGCTAGATTACTGAGCAGGGACAGGGGACATCAAGAGAACACAGAATGAAGGAGTTGGTCCTCATCATGCATTGAATTAAATACTTTAACACCACATCCAATAACTTCCTCTGGTATCACACCAACCCTGAACTGACCCAACTACATTCTCTGAAAATCCATACCCTCCCAGAAGGAATTCTACTGCAAGGCAGACTTACAAAAGGGTTTTCCCCAATCCGTGACATCAGCAGAAAAGCATGAAGGTCTCCATGCTTCATGAAGGGCAGGATCACCATGGGAATTGGGAGACGGCCCTTGGGACGGCTCCGAAGACTGACTCCTAACGAGAACACACACAGGCAAAGGGGTTTTAATAAACAGAGGAGTCCCAAGGGAAATCTTACAAGCTGCTTGCCTTTCTCATACAAATTTGGAGGAAAACATGCACTTTCAGCAGGTAGGTTCCATGCTTCAAGCTCCATTACATGGCTTCATGCCAGAAGGTGTTAAGATACCTCTAACCCTGTTTACTCCAGAGGCAGCACTAACTGCCCAGTGGCATAAATATTTCTAGGATCACTCCAGACCAGACAGCCCCAAACCCCAGGGTCTGCAGGGCAATCTCCACATTCTGGAAGTTGTCCATGTTCCATGAGTGCCTTGGTTCTTACACAGTATTTCGAGAAGGCACAACCTCCTCTTGCTCTATTTATCTACCAACCCACCTGTCCACATTTCAGAGCAGTTTAGACATTTCTCAGCCAGCCACACTCTCCCTGTAGTATTTGCAAGACCCAAAGAAATGGCTTAAGTAAGAAATGCCTATTATAGGTGTGTGAGGGCAAGTGTTGTGAGCACTTACACGCACTTCAACTCCCTCTAGGCCGGGGAAGGAGCAATGCTGATACACACAGGACTCCAGGCAGCACAGAGGTGGTGGCACTAACACCTCTGTTGGACAGCAGTGAGGGGGACACAGTGTATGTGGGGCTGTGTGGGACTGTGCAGGAACAGGAGGTGCTCTGTGGCACCACGAGCAGAGGCGCTGGCTTACCGATCAGCTTCGTGACATGAGGGTGGTCAAACTCCTTCATACACGCAGCCTCTCGCAGAAACTCCTCGATGTCAGTTGAGGTAAAGATGTCCGCTGGAAAAAAGCAACTGTAAGTTTTCTTCCTTTGTGGGTGGCTCCAAGGGGCTTTGCAGATAATGATGATCAAAAGCTCGTTCTTTGTGGCACAGCACATGAGCCAGTTTACAACAAAGCAGAGCCTGACACTTTCTCCTGGGATGGGCGGCAGTAAGCACACATCAGGGACATCTGGTAAATTGGTTCTTGGCAGAGCAAGGCCCTGCTGATTAGCAGCTCTCCTCCCAGTAACAACCTTTCTTGGAAGCCATGCAAATCATGCGTGGGTTAAAGATGTGAGAATTAATTAGCTAAAAGGACCTAAACCACAATGTCGGGGTGGGGACACACAAAATTAAAGAAAGTGTTGAAACTGAGGAGATGGCCTGGAGGCCCTGGCTGGCACAGCAGACCCCAATTCATCTCTGACAAGGATGACACGAAAGATTAACGCTTTTTATGACTCGTAGCATGATTCAGTCTTCTAAGGTGCAAGAGCTAAGATTTCTTAAATAACCACACTACTGGAGAACTTGGACCAAAGTCAGCAGTGACATAAATGACTATAAATTTGGAGTAAATTATTTCTCACTGCTACTACTCCAGATTTATGGAAGTATATCAATATAACCAAGAATTAGCCCAGTGGACTACTTCCCCCACTGCTGCTGCTGAATTTAGCAGGAGTCCTCCAGTCCTGCTACGAGATCAGACTTAGACCTGTAGGGGAGTATTCACATTATCTGCTTCAGGCAAGTAATTTAAATATGATTCAGAAGATAAAAGTAGATTCCCTTTTTACAGTCAATGGAGAAAGGAAGGTGCCTCTGGAGGGTGACAGAGAGTTGTCAAGTTACATGCCTCAAGGTAGACGGTCTGACTACACAAAAGCCTGCAAACTGATTAGAATTATTATTGAAACTGGATAAAATGATGTGACTTACACTAATGTGGTACTAGTATATTTAGCACAAACTGGTATTCTGTGGCTGGCAAACTCAGCTCCAGAGATAAGTGAGTGTGACACTGCTTTAAATCAGTCACAGTTAATTTTTGCCTTACAGGCAACAGGTGTGAAATAACATAGGTTAACACACACACATATATATATACACACACATATATGTACATACTTGCTTTGACTTATACCTATCTATTAATTGCTTTTCTTGTTACAGACTTCTGCCTGATGAATGTGCTAGTTGCCCTGGTTGTGCACACTCACCAAGGTACATATCAGAAGGGAGTTAGACTACTTAGTCAAATATGCCTGACTGAGATGAGTGAGCTTGTCACTACATTCAGCCCAAACACTCTTTATTCTACAATATATGCTTGGAGGAATACCATCTTTCACTGCTGAATTATTAGGGAAAATCAGACCTGTCTGAGCTGTCCATGCCACGTGATGTAGTGCTGTGTTAAATCAAGCCACTGAACAAGATCCTCTATACACAGAAGAAGCTGTAGCTGTGCCTTGGTTTTGGTTGCACTCACCACGTGCTAGGTGCCATACAAGCAACTAAGGTGGCATAGGTCCTTCCCTGAAGAGCTTCTACTACAAAAAGACCGACATGAAAGGGATGGGAGACAACACGGGTAGAGTGGCTGAGTGGGAAGCTCAGAGAGGAGTAAAGAGCATCAGGGGATGTTTGCTGGAGAACAGGACAGATAGCATTTAATCTTTCCAAGCTCTCTTCTCTTAAGTACTTCAGGTAGCCGTGCTTCCACTTACCTTTTAGCATCTTCACTGCCACTTTCTGGAAAGAGCCATCATCTAGCTTCAGTAGTGCCTCTCGAACTGACCCAAACTCCCCTGTGAAACGACCAGAGCAGGCAGTGAGGGAACAGCTTCTTGTGAAGAAAGTGCGATTCACAGCAGGTTCACTCCAGGGGTGACTGGCAAAGCAGCTGAATAACCATAAGAAACACAGCTCCCAGCTTCATTTTTCATTCTGCAGTTCAAGCCAGCAGCATTCAGCACACACGTGCCTAGAAGAGGCAGCACTACCAGCAGACAGAGGCCACTGCGCTGGCAGCCCGTAAGGCAAAGGAAAACAGGAGGGAAAGAAAGCAGTCCACTACCAGATGGACAATGCAGAGTCAGAGTATGAGCTGGGATACCAGGCAGAGAATTTTGGAGAAGCTGTATCATGAGGGCCAAGTCTGAGCAAGGCTCTGGTCAGAGATGGGGTGATTAGCTGGAGCAGTGAGTGGATGGGTTGGCTGAAGGAGCTCTCAGCGCTGACAGCCGTCAGAGCTGAGTAATGGTGCCAGGATTAAACCATTTGAGGCACAATCAGGCCTTATCTCTCAAAACATGGGGAATGACTTCTATGAATCACAGCTGACCAGACAAAACACAGAACGCCCACTCGTGTGTGCCTGATATGCTAATTCACAGGAGGAAGTGTTTACCCTGGTGTGTTCTCTGAGGGAGATAAGAGGAAATGCAACTGGCCAAACCCTCTTCAAATTATTTTGGCCTGAAGTGGCCTTATACCACAGCACAACAGCCTCTTTGCATTAGATCTGGCTCTAGATTTGCTCTCCCTAATTTTGTAACTGCTTACCCCACCCAACATGCGTTAGTATGAGGAACTCTGGCACTGAAAAGAAGGAAGCAAAATATGGCGCTCAGGACATCTACCTCCAAAAGCATAATTTTTCCACCAGTTTTTCACCAGTGTCTTCCACTACTGTGTGGCACATGCTTATTTCCCAATAATCACAAGCAGTGCATCTGACCCCAAAAGAGGAAAATGGGAAGAAGCAAAGGCATTTTGTACTGCTTCTGTATTACAGAGCTGCTGCTCAGCTGTAGAGTCAGCGGAGCCCAAGATAATGCCATCTTATAACCAGTATGTTGAGCGTGGGGTTGGGGGAATGGGGCTGACAACATATACCAGATCCTGCCAGCTACCATCCTCCCACCAAGGCCAGCCCCAGGGGCCCTGCTGCAGCCCATTTCCAGTTTGTTACCTGTCATGGGGACAGCCCAGAAGGGTTGAAGCAAGATCTCAGAAACTGGCCAAGAGCTGACACTCACAAACAGATGACACAGCTGTTTAATTACTTAGCATTGTTAAGCCCTCTGAGACCACTTCTGCAGGAAGGTCATCTTCCTGCTCTGAAAGAAAGGCATTTGGTCTAAGAGGGATGGAGCAGAAGAATGCTCCCAGAGGAAAAGGGTCAACAAAAACTGCAATAAAACTAGCCTTATAAAAAAAAAAAAAGGAAGCCAAACACTTCAGCCTCCTTTTGCTTGAGACCCCTGATTTATGCTCCTCTCTTAGTTATTTGCTTTATCATTTTATGTTTTTAGATATTTCTAGAGATTGCCTTCAGTCCAAGAAGAAGGGAAGGATGATTCAACAGTTAGCACCCTGCCCTGCCATTTGGGAAATCTAAATTGAAAACCAGTGTTTCACACAGAGTTTCTGGGCCAATCTTTTAGCTAAAGTTAAGTGAGAAGCATCCCACCTTTACTCTGCCCATCCCTCCTGACCTGAAAACCTCACAGAAACGTTAGAAGCACCTGTGTGGGAGATCCAGATGGAGATCTACAGTCAGAAGAGCTCCTAAGGACATGAACTAATGAGGACAAACATCAGCGAAATTCAGTACCCGTTCCAAATGTGCCTCTGTAAGAGCCTGAACTAAAATCTGGAGTCAAACCACCCTAGATGTTGAGACTATCTGAAACTGAATCAACTTTTTTTTTTTAGGGGTTGGAGTGTTTGAGGTAAATCATCTCTATCTCTGTATTGTCTCAGCCCATTTAATACTTTACGCATGCTTATGCAAATGGAAGGAATTCTATAGCACCACTTTGTCAGTAGAAAAAGAGGAAGTTTAAATATTTGTTTAAATCTTTGAAAGAAATTCACAGACCAGTGAATCAATGGTACTTTGGAAAGCTGAGCATAAACTGCAGTTCATGACTCTGTAAAGCCATATTATAGAAATGGCTTAGCCAATATCCTCTTAGTTATGCTAAACCTTTGAAATGTTTTATCCCAGAGGAAGGTAAAGCTCCACTTAAATTGCCATCTACAAGCAGAAGAAGAGCAAAAAGGCTGCTTATAATTGCTTCTCTCTACCCAACAGTAAAGGTAACACAAGCAGGACTTTCAATGTGAAGCCTTATTTGGTTTTGGTTTCTTACCCTTGCCCAACATTCTTCCCAAGGTGAACTGCTGTTCCTGGATTAGGACATCTTTGAGTTTCGTCTTCAGCTCGTCACTGATGCCCACACTCTCCACTGGAAAAAAACAAAGGAAGCGTCAAATAAGGGATACTTAAATATTCAGTCACAACATTAAGAGTCACCTGTTCTAATCTCCATCTCCAATCCAATTCCCATACTGCACAATGAGTTTAAAGCACACTGCTGATACTGTTAAGCCATATTTATCTGTTGCATAATATTACAGGTGAAGGAGTCCCTGTAGTGTGAAACTGGGGCAGGGGAGTGGCAAATTTATGTCTTGCACTAGTATACACAATGACTGTAGCTGTAATTAGCCACTGCTATGTAATTGGTATGGCAACAGCAATTTTGGCCTTTCACCTCTGCCATCCACAGTGCGTAAGTCTCCTTCTAAATTAATCCCATATTCTTGATCCAAAACATCAGTTTTGGGGGAAAACAAAGAGAAAGCATAGTACATGCACAAACATGGCTTCTCAGGCAGAATCACTCAGGTCATTTTACTTACATGTTGCTTCAATGAGCTCTGGGCCCTCCCTGTTGAAAGACCTGGCAGCTCTGAAATGGACTGCTGGATCCCCTCTGCCAACCACACTGCCAAAGGCATGGCTAGAAGGCAGAAAAAACACACAGGGCCATGATTACATGGGCCATTCACTCCTAAAAGGGTGTTTTGAACAATATGGATGATTTCTCACCCCTTGCCATATAAATACTACAGACTGTTTTGTTAAATAGGGTGTAGCTGAAGAGGAGGTTTGTAGTGCCTTGCTGATGCACCTAGAGGGGACAGGAGCTCCTGAGGGCCTGGGAGGAGCTGCAGGTTGAGACAGGTTGCAAGAATCACATAAAAAGAGATGCTGCTGTGAGAGGGAGGTCTGGGAGACTGAAAAGAACGGGAACCTTGCTTGCAGCAGGGAGCAACCCACAGCCAAGTGTCAGAGGTGCTGTAAAGGAGACTTTCTTGGGGATCTAGAAGGTTCTGGGCAGTCAGGATGTTGCAAGCTAGACTGAAAACCAGCAGGGGATAAAGAGCCCAGCCCAGAAAAACACAGAAGGTGATTCACCTTTTCTCTTTGGATCTCTTAAGCAGCAGTGCTAAGGACTTACAGAATTACTTTGATCTAGTTTATATTTACATATTCTAATAAAGCCCAGCTATTAACGTAACATTTTTCTACTGTATTTTTGGTGTTCTCATTTAGAAGGTAGCACACTTTCCTGATAGTCTCTAATTCAGGGTCACCCCCAAAATTGCAAAAAAAAAAAAATTATCCAAAGAAAGTGCCAAAGGTACCCAATCCACAATGCTTTTTGAAAAATAATTGAGTCAGAAACCACACTAGAGGAGAAAACAAACATCTCTAACCAGCACAAGGAGAACCTTCCTTACCCAAACCGAGTCTCCTTTCTTCTTTTCCGAAGGAGAATGAGAGCCAGGGCAACAGCCGTGACCAGAGCTGTGAGAATGCCCAATGCCACAGGAACCCAGGACGTTCCATAAGGAGGTTGTCTCTGGCCACCTAGATGATGGAGAAAACACTGATCAGGAAATAGAAGACTGTCAATGGTAAGCAGACCATACTGGGATACTTCTTGCTTCTAAATGGAAAAGCCATGCTGCTCGATCTGGTGTACACAGTGGATCATTGCACACTGGAATTTGGTATAAACAGCTACTCAGTCCCAGTCAATCATCAGAAAAACTCGCTGTCTTGCACAGCAAAGGCAGAGCAGATGCATCCAGTTATCAGAACCTATTCTTAGTTTTGAGCTGCAAGAAAAGTGAAAGGTGCTGCTCCAGGTTACACCACTTTACAGGAGCTCATGATCTGGGGCACTTTATAAACTAGAGTCTCAGGACAAAAAGGTTGCTTAATGCCAACATTTTCTGTGCAGGTTTCACCTTGTTCTGCTTGAGGCAGCCAGCAGAACCTTGACCAGGCTACATGGTATTACCTGAATGCCAATGAGATAACATTTTGAAAGACAATAAGAGAAAGACAATTGCCTCACTGCAATCTGGTTGAAAATATTTACATTTCCCCTCTCACCCCTCCCACAAAGAGAAGCACCCTGAGGGACTTGGTATCGGCTGTAACCTCCCAACGCCATTGGTTGGTTGTAACTTCTCAATGTCTCGCTACCAAAGAAAAAGTAAATTTTAACAAGTGCCCTGTGAATCAAGAAATAAGTTAGCCAGCATGCAGCTTCCAATTCTGGTCTAATATTTGCTCCTAGAATATGTTTTTTTTTTTTTTTTACTACAAACTGCCTACAGAAGAAATGGAGATGCTGCCAATCTGAGTAAGCTGCCAGGGAAGGAAGATAAGCAATATGGTTATGAATAAAAGAATATTATCTATGCTTGGCAAACAACAGATAAATTAATCTAATTCCCTAAGAGATTTCTTCTCCAAATACAATTACTAAAGATTAAATGTGAATTTGAATGGGTTTATTACAATCTAGGATAGCCCTCCTACCTCCAAATTGTTTAAGAGCAAACAAGAACAGGTAAGAGGGCCCCAAGCTCCTCCTTCACCTTCATGCGTCCTTGCTCATCTTCAACAGTTGACTGTGTTTTACCAGAAACTAAGGAAGAATCATCTTTGATGATGTTACTAATCCTTTTACATGTCATGAGAATACAAGCAAACCTGTCTTTAAAAGAGATGTTAGGCTACCAGGCTGAGATTTGGATAAACCTCTGCAGAGATGCATGTGAAAAGGAGTCAAACACCCTCATCAGCAGAGCCCTGGCAGGCAAAAGGCTTCGAAGACTTGATTACTAGTTACATTGTCAAGCCTTATTATCCAACTTTTAAAGAAGCAATATTAGTCTAATAAACACATAGCACTTAAAGAAACAGAATTCTGGACCACCTAGGAAGCAGCCTACTACTTCTCCCCTTGAAACAAATTACCAGAGCTTCAGCACCTATTTTCCAGCATCTTATCTCCTTCAGTGACTCATATAAGCCTTCCCACCCAGAAGGCTTTATAGGCTCCGAGTTTTATGATACTCTCCCTTGCTGCATTTTCTGACCTGGCCTTTGAGGCTGCTTAGGAGGAGGGAGAGGGATCAGAAACAGAAGTGGAATGAAGATACAATGAAAGGCAACTCCAACCCTCTGCACGATTCCCAAGCCAATCACTTGGGCTGCTCCTGCCAAACAATCAGGGTAGAAACAATTAACAACACTGATGTAAAAGGTCCTCTCTGAGAGCTAACAATAAGGTTTCCTTCCCCCTATGGTGAGACAAGCTCTCTCAGCCTATTTTTCCAGGCTGTCTGCTAGCTGGCCTGGTGAGAGAGCAGGGATTTAGGTCCCATCCCTGGAGGGACTTAAGAAACATGTAGACGTGGCACTTAAGGGCATGTTCTAGTGCCCGAGATTGTTGGAGGTTTTTTGTGTATGTGTATGTTTGGACTTGATGATCTCAAAGGTTCCTTCCAACCATGAAAATTCTGTGATTCTGTGATTATCTTCCAAAGTGCTGGATGCCTCACATCTTCAAAGCCTCATATATTTTATTTCTAAAGAGCATCTCAATTTTTTCAGACAGCAGCTGTTACTGTGAACATCTGCAACTTGATGTGAAGCTTTGGTAGATGTAAATCATTACAATATTGTCTATAGGCAAGCAACTGTGGCACTGAAAAGTTTATGACAAACAAACCAAGTGCATTCTAATCATCAAGTGTAGTAATTTTCATTTCCTTGGGAGTTTTTTCAAAGCCTCTTAAATTACGCTCTGAGTGAAAATACTGGAGCTCCGGGGGGGGGGGGGGGGGGGGGGGTCCCTCCAAAAGGAGAACGGATGAAAACAAAACAAAATTACTGTCCCTGTTTCTAAACTGGTAGAAATCAGGAGCCCATCCCACAGTTTACAGCAAATGTGTCAGAAATAGAAATGAACATTAAAATTCACTGCCTCTCCTCCTCTGCCCCACAGATCATTGCTTCCCACTCATGCCACTGAGCTAGAGAGGGTGGCTGCAGCCCAAGTAAAGACCAAGCTGCCTCTCCTCCCCCAACTCTTGTCTCTCTCACATCTCCCACACCCCCCTTTCCCAACTGGCATATGCCTTAAGACTGCACTGGCAGAGAGAAGAAAGCATTAGGTGAGTTTAAATGAGTATTTAGGAGCCCTCTGATAATGAGAGAACCTTTTTTATTTCTGTAGCAGGTCTCATATCACAAAGGTGCGCGAAGAATGTAATCCCAAGAGTCTTTTCCTGTATATGACCATGAAGATTACAGATAGGAAAAGGCTATTAGACCATTCTGTTCCTCTGTCTGCAATGAAAGAGAGATATTTCTACTGAAAATGTTACTGAAAATATTAAAACAATCTCTGTTAATAGTGCACAAGATCTCTGCATAAGCAGGGTGGAGCTCCCACTAGCTTTGCTGTGATGACAAATACAACTTAAAGTTTATACAGGCTTAGTCATCCTTACTGCCGCACTGGGAACTGGTCATAAACCACCCCTGGCATTTCTCATATAAAGCAACCAGCGCCAGTTTGCTATTTTAGGAAAGGAAGCGACTTATATTTTCTACCAGGCCTGAAACAAAACTGCAGTCTTTCTGCAGCTCTGCTGTTTGAGGCCTGTCAGTCTTTCCACAGTGAACCTTTATTTCCAGCCTGTTACACTTGTGAAGAAATATACGTGCTTTCAGACAGCATTTGGCCAAAACAAGCACCACTCCTGATGCTACTTTTTTGAAGTGGTTTGCAAATAAAAACAAACAAACGTTTTCTGCTTTCAGGATGATCCCATTCCAGCTCCCTGCAAAATGCAAACCTTATACATTCCCTGGGGCTTCTTGCTAGCATTGGCCATCTTCCAAAGGGATATTCTAGTCCTTTCAGGTACTTTTCTCTGTTATTTGGGTGCCACAGAAAATAACAGAGTGAAAAGCAGGAGAAAAAAATTGATGGAACCAATACCCAAACTCTAGTAGCATCATCTCTGGAACTCCACACCCCTTCATTCTGCTTTTGAGGGCTTTGATCCCACGGTGACTGCATGCTCACACATAACAATCAGTACTGACTTCATCACAAGAACTGGGTTGGCAAAGGGCCTTTCTCAGTAAATAAACCCAATAAAAGAAACCCAGCATTAGCTGCGCTACTGCAAGTAAGGCTACAGTTCTCTCCTGGTTACTCTGCCCCTGTCCCCTACCTCCTGCTTGCCTGGGAACCCCACTCTAATTTCCCCCTGCCATCCCTAAACGCAGAGGGATCAGGAGGGATCAATGTCCATGTGATTTCTCAAAAGACATGTGGGTTGGGAAGGAAGCAGCATCAGATGGGTCAGCACTAGAGATCAGAGATTGGTGTCTCGTCCTGCCACAGGCACTGGGAACAAAACCTTGGGAGATTGTGAGATTTTTTTCACAATCACACCTCACTAACTTCTTATCACCAATCTGTCATTTTATTTTGACCATCTTCCTCCTAGTTTTACAGGGTTTTTTTCACAAGTATCATCTTTCTCTCCCTTCTATCCATCTCCCCATACAACATCCCGCCCTTCTCCACAGCCTGACTCCTGTTTCCCCTTCATTGTGAAATACAAGCAGCAGCAGACCAGTGCAGGTGAGCCCAACTGCCCTTTGGCACTGGGAATGGACTCCACACATGGCATGTTCTTTGCTCCCAACAAACCCTTCCACATGATACAGATTGCATGGTACAGCTTCTGTGCTATCGTATCCCTCTTCTATCAGTAGCTCAGCTTTTCCATGGAGAGAACTAAATTGGTTTAATATGAAGACAATCAGTAAAACCATTACAAAACCCCATGTGGCCATGGTTTAAATCAGGCTCAACTGAAACTAGTCAGGAACGGCTTCAAATTAAATCAAAGAAAAGAACCTATGTTAGAGGAGTTTTCTGTCACATTTACTCTTGTAAATGTGTGTGACTTAAGCCTAAATGAAGGATTTCAAACCTTTTCTATTGTGCACCTTTTCTATTGTGTCTTCCCCAGCCCTGCTCTGCACTAAGCATAGCAAAAGCCCGTTAACAAAGACACAGCAGCGGCCAGAAGCTGCTTTGTTTATACCAGCTCTTTAAATATTATTTAATTTCTACTCTGCTTGATGAAGTGTGCTGTTGTGTAAAGCCAAGTGGCTCAACCAGCTGTAAGCACCGAAAGGAGAAAAACAGCAGTCCCAGCATTTCTGACTTTTTCCCCCAAGCGAAGGGAAGGCAGTGGACACTCACCCATGACCTCTTGAGCTTCAAGCAGGAAGAAGTCACTCCAGGGCCCGCATCCTGCAGAGTTCAGCACACACACCCTGATGATCAGGTCCTTGAGAGGATTCCACGTTGTGAGATTAGCTTTTGTATCCTGTACGATCATCTCCCCCTGAGAGCAAACGGCAACAAGCTGTCAGCTGTCTTAAAAGGAATCTAGTCTAAAACTTCACCTCTAACACAAAACATTGCTGTGTAGTTCACTGGTGCTATAACAAGGGTTGGGAGTTGTGACTCCTGGGTCCTAGTCTCAGTTTTGCCAGTAACTTGGGCTATCATCTTGGGTTTCTCTTCTCAAAAATTGCTAACAGTTTCCCAGGACGTAGGAAGATACAAGGTTTAATGTTTTCCTCTGTTGAGGTCCTTCCATGAAAGTTGCTATAGAAATGGGTTTTTTTCTGCTATTAAAAGATACACCTCCTTCTTGTGGTTTAAACACAAAGATGCGCTAACATGCTGCAAAGCATCTGACAGCTTTAAGCCAAGGGAGGATTGTGTCTGTTTTAACTTGTTGACCAAATCCCAAATGGCTCCTGAATTTCATGGCCAATTTTCACTTAGGACAGCAAGGCCAACATATTTTCAATAATTTTGTGGATCTTCTTCATACACATCGTTTGCAGTAAACCCATGAAGATTTGGCTGCCAACACTGACACAATGTAAATTCAGTGGGAACTCAAAATATTGTCATTCCAAGTCAATGATGCTGACCCAGGATGAAATGGGTCATGCAAAAAAGGAAATAACTCTTTTCCCTCTAGCTGTCTATTATTACAGGCCTGTTCATCATTAATAAGCACTGGCTAAATAAATATTAAGAAGCAAGAAACCATAGGAATTGCTGTGAACTTCAAAGGCAGATAGATACCTGGGAAAGGTCAATGCTGCAGAACAAATGAAAGGCCTTCTACCCTAACAGGGTCCTTTCAACTCCCTACACATTATAAATTAAATAAAACAACCTGCAACCTTCTTTCTGTGATTTACAGTATAACTCATTCACTTGTTAAATACACCTTTGCTGTCAGAATTTAGAAAGTCAAGTCCCAGTCACAGGAGAGAGAAAGCCCAGATCCTGCACTGTCTGAGCGGCCTTCAGGACAGCACTAGGAAGAGGCAGGGACAAACTGAATTTTCTCTATGGTGTCCTTGTTGTACAAGGAACAGCAGAGAACTGGTCTGTCTGCAGATGAACGTTCAAATGAAGGAATTCCGAATAAGCCAGGAAGGGAGAAACAGGCCTGAATCTTGAGGCCAGCTACTGAGGAGTTGTTGCAAATTAGAATAAATCAATTTACACAAAAGCAATGCCAGCAATATAGACCCCTGGGATGGATAAAGGGTGAGGGACCCCTAATGCCTAAAACATTTGATGTGGACATTCTCCAACTCTGTGCCCAATGGCTCAGCTCCCCTCTCAATCTGTTCAGCTCAATCTCAATCTGTTACCTGAGTTACATTATCCTGAATCCACTCCAGCCTGTATCCCAGGACATTTTCTTTCAGCACATCTGGAGCCACACCTTCCCACTCCAAAATCAGACCAGGATCTCTTTGGATAACATGGATATTCTGTGGAGTGCTGCTTGGAGCTGAAAGCAGAGGACAGAACACAATCACTCTGTGCAGGAAAATAAGGCACTTTCCACCTTGGAAATGGCTGAAAAGACGGATTCACCCTCTTTCCTGAGATCAGCTGGAAGAGAGAGCACGAAGGGAGAGAACAACTTTTGCAAGACACCAGCACTATGTTTGCTTCAAGTGGAGAAGAAGTGGAGTTGGTCAGTGTCTCTCATTTCTTTCCAAGACCCCAAGAATCTCGGGGAGTGAGTGGGACACATGCCCAACATGCAGAAGCCCTGTGGCTGGATCAAATTGTGTACCACCACATTTGACTGCATAATACTATTTTATATTGGGAAACCCTCAGAGTGGGCAAGCAATCTGACAGTATAACATTTCCTGCATTTCAGAATTAGCAAGGAGACATTCAGTGACGTTTATTATCGTCTCTTTTTCAGATTCAGGACTGGATTCCTGTTCTTGTCTGCTGTTTGCTTACCAAGCTCCAGGGTCTGGAAATAAACCCTGTCGGTGAAAGGGGAGCTACCCATCTCATTGCTGCACTGCACACGAACGCTGTAGTTGGTGGAATGTTTCAGGCCTTGCACGCCGTAGGCAAAGGGTGGCACTGGGGTGACTTCAGTGGAGACCTCCTGGCCATCTGGTGACTCAGCTACCTGTGCCACGAGTGAAACGGAGAAGATTGTTACCATCAGCCATATGTCTAACAGGTCCATAGGGATAAGAATCCATTCTGTAGTTAGTTTAGGGATGTGTAAGAATAGATATGGCACCAGTGGTGTTTAATATACTGAAAAGGGAGTTGTCAAACTAAGAATCATGAGCCATGCCTTTATTTGGTTTAAATGACATCACTCTCCTAACTCTGGCAGTACAATAATCTTCCACCAGCTGAAAATTTGATTCCATACTTTTCCTTACACATGTCACTAATTCTAAAGGAATTAAAAATCAACTGTAAAGAAAACTAAATGTGCTTGTTCCTTTGAGTGCTAGCGGCTGGCTTCTGACGCTTGTCTGAATTTCTGAAGATCTGTCTTCCATCTGAATGGAAATTGGTAGATCAACTTCCCTGCTGCCTAGTTTTTTCACAACTCCTTTTTCAGAAGCTTATACATTTTCAGTTTCGTAGTAGATTAAAGACATGGTGGACACTGGTGGCTTGGTTCAACTAAACTGTTTGAAATTAAACTGAAAAGAAACTTTTTACCACTGCAACCCTTGGGTTTTTTTGTTTGTTTTTTTTTTTTCTGGATCTGAACTTTTAAATTAACATTCAAGTTGCTTAAATCTGATACTACTGTGCGCTTTTAAGGCACAAAGAGGTTTAATGTTCCTGCTTTTGTACTGACAATAGCAGAAATCACTGCAAAGCTCTTAGGATCAGCCTATCTTTCTTCTCAAGTGCATATGAAATAGCAAAGCCTGTAGTAAAAGCAAGGTGTACTGACAAAAGTGAAACACTCATATGGACTTTATATTTTTTTCCATACAGCAGTCTTTCTCCCTGGCCTGTCTCCTCATTCTCACACACGCTTTTGGCCCACTGATTTATTGGGCTATTAAAAAGGAAGAATCTCAAGTTTCCCTAGCAGAAAAGCATATTGTTGTCATTATCAGTGTCATCCAAAGCAGGGAAAAAAACAAGCAGACTTTTGTGTAAAACCCTGTCAATTTGATGTGATGTGTTTCCGTTCAACAGTCTGAAGAGTCAGTGCTCTCACATCTGCCCCCTTTATACCCTGGACCACGGCTTATGTTAACAGTCAGTCAACGTGATGATTCCCAACCCTGTCGCCAGAAGCAACCTGCCTGTCTGAACACGGTGCTCTGGGGGCACCTGCTGCAATTCCCAAGTGCCAGAAAAACCACAGCCAAGTTTCAATCCCCCTTCCCTTTCTGGGAGGCTCCGAGCAGAAGTGCAATCGTGGGGAGCCAGGAGCACATGCATTTTCACGTGGAAATGTGGGTCAACGTCTCTCACAAAAATCTCTCGATGTGTGAGACAGAGGAAGCACAGCTTTCCATCAGTGGAGGGTTATTACCAAGTTACCCTGCTCCCAGATCCAACTGCAGGAACTCTGTCCTCCCCAAACAGAGCAGAAAAGGCTTAGAAAAGGGAGGAGAGACTGCTGAGTGGACAGAAACAGAGCTGCTCTGATTCAGCCTCTCTTCCACATGTCCCATCCCCCCCACCTCTGCCCCTGCCAAAAGCCAGAGGGGGAACTCAAAACCCAGGGTGATTAGCATTGCAGCCTGCAAGCCAGAGAGAAGGGGCTGTTCCAACTGGAGATAACTCACATTGTAAAACAGCGGAAGAAAACCATTTTCAACTGCGAACAAGAACAGAAGCAGCAACAAAACTCAGAGACCGGGGCCAGCTACACTCAGGCATTCTTTCTGCCAGTGAGTTAAAACAAGATGATGTTACTTATGAAAGGGAAAAAAACATCAGCGCAGGAAATCTCTGGGTTTCTCCCCAAGTAAGAAGAGGACTGCAAATAAATTAGCTAGGCTGCTTCCAGCATACCTTGCGTTTATAATCCTCCTCTACATAGTTGGCAACACCCCACAGGAATTCCACTCCGGCTCACATCGCTGCCGTAATCAGGTAGGGGCCCAATATTCACACCTGGCAGATAAATCCATGGGGAATGTGCCTACCTGTGTTTGCATGGCCTGCTTCAGGAATCACCATTTCTTTTTGGCACTTGGTTACCAGCTGTTTGATCTGATTCTACAGTTAAGTGGGCAAAGCTAGAAACCTAACTCTGCCTGAAGCTGGCATGTACCCTTGGTCACAGAAACCTAAAGAAGCAGTCCAATTTTTCAGAGATATTGAGTACTCAGCACCTGATAGAGTTAAAGGGCATTATCACCCTTGATTTTCCAGGCAGAATAAGTCTTTGACAATGAAAAACCAATCAAGATAGAGAGGCAGGACTTAAAATTATTCTAAAAAGTGCAAATAAGTCTGATTTTGTATCCAGTGTGTCCAGATGCCAGCGTTTCCTCTGGTGCTGCAAAGCACAGGGCTGAGGTGGAACAGAAGTCATGGGCCACTGCATTGCACTGGAACAAGTCACCTTGGGCCAGCTGCCCCACACAGCAGGACAGCAAACCACCCTGCCACCCAAGGGGACACTTTCCACAGAGGAATGTGTGCCTCACATTTGCTCCAGGGTACAACTCTGCACAGAGCAACCGATGTGATAACCTGTCGGGAGGGACAACGGGGCCAGTCTCAAGTTCTCAAAAACTCACACTCGGAACTGGCCCTGCTGTTGGGCACCTATTTATGCCCTGAGTTGCACCCTGTTTTTAAGTTTCCTTATTTTAAAAACTGCGGAATAAGAATTCAAACACTGCTACAAAGCAGTTAGGAGAGCAAAAGATGGTCCAGCCAGTGTCGTGGCTGAGGGGAGTCCCACTCTTCATGCAGGACAGAGGACAATCCAGGGGGGGCCATACCTGAAGAGTGCAAGAATGGAGGGGTGCACGGCCATCAAATCCTGGCACCCAGACCACGCTGGCATTGCTGCTGGTGACTTGGCTTACAGTTACATTGAGAGGCGGGAGAGGCATGGCTATAAAGGAAACAAAGAGACCTTTCAGTGCAAACAGAACTGAGCAGGTATTCACGTGGCAATGGCAGAGGTTTGAGGTTAGAAATTAAGCAATGAAATCACTAACAGAAATGGTACAATATCCCATCTTTAGAGAACGTCCCTGGCTGTTATGAATGAAACTATTATTTAAACATTCAACAAGCTATTAGCACCCGTTCTTTAACAGCCCAGCATACTTGCTTGATGCACACAGGCAGTGGTTGATCTCTTTGACAGCAATGCCAGTCTGTGATGTTTACACCTTTGCTACTCAGCCCTCTTCCCTGCCCCCTCCATTGAAAGGAATGACCCAGCCCTTAGTACACAACTGCCTGTGAACCTACATTGTGAAGCAAATCAGGGCTTTAAAATGCCTCCCCTGGTTCTCAGTCCAGCCCCCGGGCGGTTTGCTGTAGTAATCCCTGCAGCTGGACTCGAAGGAGACCTCCTGGTGCTCTGAAAGTGCTGCTTCCAGGTGTCCATTAGAAACCCTTCCTGAAACACCCTGGGATGGAGCCTGGACTGAAAGCTGTGCCTCCCTCAGGCTTGCGATGAATAAACTCAGAAAGCACTGTTTTATAGAGGAGCAATTACAAGCAAAGGGAGTACCTATTACATGGCAGATAACACATTACAAGTTAAAGCCAGATCCAGGAGAAAAAAAAAAAAAAAAAAAAAAAAAAATCAGGATTCCCAGACTGGCCATTGAATCAGATGTTTGTGCTTCCTACCACCACAGAAGAGCACCAGAGTGCTGTCCCTCTGCTCCGCTCTGACCAGGCACCTCCATCACTGCAGGGGCCCCTAATATGTTGTCGCATTAACCGGAGCTCTTTGGCTTTATTTTAGGATCCTCAATGCTTCCCTTTGCCATCTCTTTTCCTCACACTGTAATTCCACAGAGTTACCTCCTGTTCTTCCCAATATACCCCTCACCGTCTCTATTTCACTCCCGAGCCTCTGCTTTTGTTTAGGCATCTCACTCCTGAAAAAATTACCAGTTTAATGAATACTAATCTCTCCCCTGACCTTTTACTCATTTAAAAAAAAAACAAACATACACTGCTGCCATAATACTTTTCCTGCAGCACCTCAATAGATTGTACCCTCAGGAGTCCTCTTAAAAAAAAAACCCCAGAGTCCTCAGGACAAGGCTCTACCTACAGACTGAATTTTGGAAAAGCACTGGCAAACCAGGATTCTTCCAGCTGCATCTTCTACCCTGCCAGAGAGCACCTTTATCTCTCACTGCACCAAGGACAACCAAAATGCCACCTTCAGCACCTCCAAAGGGCCATCTTGCAGGAGAAAGGCTTAGACCAAAGCCTCCTCCCAGGTTTCTACAGGGGGCCTAGAGGAGAGGATGGGGCAGGGAATAGATGATACCACAGATTAACCTTATAAAGCCTTTGTTGTCTGGTTAACTAGTTACCAGGGCTCAGGGCAGGGGGTTGCCACCTAGATAAGAACAGTATGCGTGGATGGGAGGTGGGGCAGCAGAGCACAGGCCTGGGATGGACGGTGGGCAACGAGTTCTTTGCCTTTCAGCAGAAGGTCTTTAAGTTAACTTAGACTTTTCCATGTCTTGGTCTCTTTCCCTTTTGATTCAAGTCTGCAACGTGTAGAAGGGACAGATGCACTTCCCCATCACACGTTGTGGGGAAAAAAAAAGCTCTGGGTGGCTGTTTCCTGTTGTGCTCCGAAACACGGGATACGGCCATAGAAACTTTAGCCACACACACGAAGGAGAGCAAAGCCAGCCTGGAAACAGGACACGGAGTGTTAACATGATGAGAGTTAACCTCCTCCATGCTTGAAGAGTGGCTGGAACAATGGGGCTTTGTATGTGGCTGGGGACCGGGGGCTACAATAACAGTAATCTTCTGCTTGGAGCACACCCAGCACATTGTGGGCACTACAGAGAATAGATAATGAACAACAACAGCAGCAAATAGGAAGAAGTGTTAACAGTTTGTAAACGTCCCAGCAAAAATGTTTGCCTCTGGAAACACAGAAGAAACAAATTGTTTAATATGTTGTAGAAAGTCCTGAGAATCCTCATTAGCAGATGGATCTGTGTAAGAGAGGAAGGCTCTAATCATGCATGTATGGACAACTACTCCCAGGAGTAATTTCATTGAATTCTACAAGCTCATAGAACAAGAACTAAGTAAACATTATCTGGGCCTGTTCCTCTGCCTGCCAATGTCCTTGTTAGGAGCTTTGCTTTAGTTTTAAGAGGGGCTGAACCAGATCTTCAAAACTTTTGCTCCTTAGAAGAGCCTTATCACTTTAAGTTTATAACTGCTCTTTTAGATGCATCTTTGAGGTATTACAGTTAGAACTTTTACAACTACGGCACTGGACTTGCTCTTCACAACCTGGTTTTTGTTGGGTTTTTTTGGTTTTTTTTTTTGCCACATACCAGTGCAACATTTGCCAAATCACTTAAGCTTTCTCTTCCTCAGCTCTACAGAGTGTGCATGTGCATGCACAAGCGTGTGATGGTGATACATCCCTCCCAAATAGGTTGTGTGGATGCATGAGCTGATGGTTGACCCCTACGGAGCACTTTTGGCTAAACACAATTGCTTGGAAATGCAAGAATTCTGTGGCCTTTACCCTATTATCTTATGAATAGTTAAAAAAAACAAAACACCACACACACACACACACTTCAAATCTGTGTTAACATTAAAAAAAGAAAAAAGTTTGTGCATTCTAAATGTTAGTTCAAATTATGGCTTGATGAGATTTTTTTAAAGCATAATAGCTTTGTGAACTAAATTCTATCCCAGGATAAAAATATCCATAGAAAATTTATACCACAATAACTAATTCCCATGTGTAGACAAGCCTTTAAGGCAACAACTCCAAACATTTTTAAATTAAGTTATAAATCTTACTAGTCCAGCATACTGCATTCTTGGCATAGCAGTAACCACAATGTCCTGAAGAAAAATACACTGTAAGAGCAGTAAATCTACATCTGGATTTTAAGCTATCCTTTCATGAATATTAGCTAATACAACTGTGAGTTCTGATACAGACATAAACGCTTCCTCTTTTTCACGCTGAGCAATAAGCTACCACTTGGAACAAACGACTTTTGTGACATGCCTCTCCTGGAACTGATAATCATGTCATTTAATGCACATTAAAGCACAACTAAAAATTTAAATGCAGAAGCATCTGAACACGAAGAGGAGGGGAAGAACTGATTGCTCTAACTATCCCTGTTTCAGTCACCTGAAGGAACAGAGGAAACATGACATCAGCTTAGGGACTTCCAAATGGCAACTGGTCATGCACATGCTAGGAATTATTTGTTTTGAATGAGGTTTTAAAGAGCAAAGAATTTAAAAAAGTAAAAAAACCAATAAAAACGGTGTGAATGAGCAGACTTTACTGGCCACTGGTGATCGCCTTCCTTGTCTTTTTTTCAGCATCTCATGTGATGCTAATAGAAGCAAGCAGAAGTAACGTCCTCTTTAGCTCTAACAAGACCCATCTATCTCCAAGAAGGAAAGATTTCCCCCAGCTATAGATGTATACCCAGTTTCATCTCTCACAATCAGACTGCTCAGACTCTCTCCTTTTCAAGGAAATACTGTTATTTGACATCACATTTCCACTCCTGAATCAGATGTGGTTTATTTTCAACAGCCTGGGACACGGCCCTGCATAGCAAGCGGGAACTGCTGTTAGAGCACAAAGCATTATTTCAACTGCTGAGAGCTCCAACTGGTCTGGTTCTTGGCAGCTTTGAGACAGCCCCTTGCATTAAGGAGCCCTACTTTCCCTCCCCAGAGAACAAACCCGAGTCCCTTGCCCATTGTTTTGCACTCTCTCACCTTTAATTTGAACAGTGGCTGTCCGAGATGAAGACAATCCCTTTACGTTGTGAGCTTCGCAGGAGAAAACTGTGCTTTGATTAATACCTGGAGATCAGCCAAGAAAAGGAAAGGAAACACAAACAGCTATATAATCCAGCTTCAACCTTCAGCAGAATTTCAATTATGTGTGACATCCAGCTCAAGCTGTACAGGCAAATGGAAGGCTGAGCTGGGTGCCAATCAAAGGCACGTGGATTTCAATGTAATTAACGTGCTAAACACATTTTTAATGGAGAGAGTGTGGCAATGTAGAAAAGCTTCCACGGGAGCTTCAGAAAGCACTGAAAAAGAAGGATGAATCTGGCAGAAGAGCAGCTCAGCACTGAAAAAGAAGGATGAATCTGACAGAAGAGCAGCTCACAGTGCTCAGTTAGTAGATGTCCACTTCTCACTTTCTGCTGAGCATCTTTAGGATGGTGCTGAACAGTGTGCTTACCCAACAACCAATGCTCTGGACCTCAGCTGGCCACCTGAGCAACAACCATCTTCCAACTGGCCATGAACCCAGCCAAACTTCCAACCAGACAGCCAATTTCAAGCTCATGCCCACCTGTCCCTTGCCTCGCATTACACTTCTGAAGACACACGAAGGAAGTGCAAGTCAAATGCTACTACATCAGCACTGATGCTCTTTCCAGGGGTGATACAATGCAAATGAGGATTATGCTCCCTGCCTTCTGCGAGCATCCATCCCACAGGGCCTGAACATGGCATCATACTGATGTTTGTCTGCTCCAAGATGCATATAGGTATTGCCAGTTAATCAGAATTGAGACAGATTTGCAAAGCTGCCTGGAGAAGTGTGTCCAGCATATGTTTTCTCTCGACTTGGCCCTCAATTGCCTAATAGGGCGCTATCTGAGAAAAGTTAAGGATTGGCACACTATGGGCACATAGTTTAGGATGGAAAAAGACTGCTTGCACAGCATTTGCCTTTTGATTCATCTCCCAAGCCTTAGATTAACGACATTGCGAAGAAATTGCAGTGGAAGAGAGGAGGGACCGCTATAAAACGAAAGAGCAAAGTATTTTAGCTTCTTCCACTCACCCTAGTGAGCCAGAGAACAATGCTGCCAGCAGGCAGAAGGCCAGGCAGCAGAGCAGAGCAGCACCTGACGTGGTAGACATGTCCCAAAGACAGAACCAAACTCAGCCCTGCCCTGAGGAAAACACAAAACACACCACAAACCACTGTCTCCTTACTCTATAGCACCGTTGCCAGCATTGCTTTCCAAATACAACAATCTTTTCACCAAACCAACTGCTTGCTGAACCTTCTAAATGTTTGCTTTCTAGCCAGTACTTCATTATTATTATTATTTTCTTCAGAATTTGATACTCTCTTTAAGTATCAATGCTTGTTTTCTTGCCAACCATCTTTTTTTGACGTACTTTGGCAATCTGACCATGCAGCGTGTGTCCTGCTACATTTTTTCCATTGCAAAGACAAGCTCTGCCCAAGAGACATCTGAAAGAGCACCGAAAGGAGCAAAGAAAGGTGCTTGTGACAAATACATACAATACTAGTTCATCTGGAGAATCACTAGGAGCAGAGGCCCTTCTTCAGCTCCCTATGCCGCTGCCCCACAATGACAGAAGTTTTGTGAGGCACCGTGGGATGAGTTCAGCAGAAGAAGGGAGACTTATTTTTTTTATTGTCTTTCCCCTCTCAACTATCAATCTTTTCAGTTTTCATTTCAACAGGCAGATTATATCATAAGGGAGCAGTTTTCATTTCCAACTTGGAACAGCATCAAGTGGCTACGTAAGAGAGGGAGCAGATGATAAAACCATTGCAAATCACAAACCAGGTTTTGATTTACATATAAATTAGGTTCTAAAGGTTTCATAGGATTGGATAGCTCAAAGGATGGCCAAAGATGTACAGAAAGAAACTCTCCCTGGGTGTAACTGTACTAACACTGCTGAAGAGGCCCCAGAGACGACTCTGAGTTGTAAACCCTTTTCTTTCTGAATAGCTTGCTCAACTTTGGCTCAGGGCTGCTGTGAATAATAAAATAGCAGCAAAGAGAAGAAGTAACATAAAGCTGCTGGACAGCTAACTAGAACAAAGCTACCTTTAGGTAAATACAAGAATAGCTGCAGTCAGGTCCTGGTAGGGATACATCACCCCTTCCCTGAAAGGGGGCTGAAGAGGCCTGAACATCTACTGGCTCCTGAGCTATTCAGCTCTTGTGGGGCAAACCTTGGTCTCTGATATCAACCAGCCCCCATCAGCACCAACACAACCACTCTAGAATTGTCAAACAATTACATGAGGCGGTTAGGTTTCAACAATAAAAGCATTCAGCAAGCCCGCAAGAAGAAAGAGGAGAGGAAGACAGGGGAAAGCAGTGCGTGACATGGCTGTGCAATGAAGGAAGAGGTGGCACCTGTTACACGTGAACACTTGGAGATTTCCAAGCCAAATGTCACCAATAGAGTCACTTAATATAATCATGAATGCCCTCCATGGGGTGGAACAAAAGAGGCACCCAATGCATCATCTACCCCGTAGCACCTTTACCACAGTGCCAGCCGCACCCAAGCTCTGAAGAGCCTGCATGCCCCAAGCCAGCAGAAAATACACAGAGCAATGATCACCCCTCAAGATGACCTGGTTTTGTATGTGATCACGATCTCTCAGCCCTCAATGTACAGGCAAAGACCATTCTCACACTATGTGGCTACCCAGTGCCGCTAGGCACCATCAGAAGAGAGCTCTCCTCCTCTTCTGATGCTCAAAGCGCTCCCCTGCATTGGCAGCAGCCTTACCTGACACATTTAAGATGGAGGGGGAGATGTCTGGAAGCCCCACTCTAGAGTCTCCCATCCACCAGACAATTGTCACTGGTTCAGGGGGACCAACAGCAGCACAGGCCATATGAAATGGGGCATTAGGGGACACGGACACATCCTCAGGTTCCACAGTAAAGTACGGCACACCTAGAAAAGCAACAGACAAATGATAATAACTGGAGAGACTCCTCCTCTCTTGTTTATTTCCCGAAATACCAGTGCCCAACACTGGACACCCACCTGCCCTGCCTCTAATCCGACTCCCTCCAAGCCCTTCACAAGAACCAAGGGTCAGATATGCTGGATCACCTCAGGGCATGAATGCCTACATAATCCTACTAGAAGAAGTCAGAAAGAAAAGAGTGCTTGCTTCCCAAAATGCCTTTGAAAAATCACTTTCACTAAGTCTCCTTCAAGACTCCCCTGTGAAGTCGCTTTTAGTGGCTGTATTTGCTCAGTTTTTCAGCTGGAGAGATTGGAGTTTAAAGCGGCAACAGTCAATAACTTTAGCAGTGGCAGACACCACTTTAAAAAGATACCTAATCCATCTGCAGATACTTCTTGCTATGCATTAAAAACTGAAGCCTGTGAACGTGTTGAACTAGCAGCTGTAACAAACCCATGAATGAGGAAAGAATCCCCCAGGTGAGAGACTGGGATCGTTGACAATGCTCTCTCTACAGCTTAATTGACACGAGCTGCCTTCCAGCACGCTCCGACACCACGAGAACCAGGCTGCCTCGGAGTTAGGGCTAATTTGTTTCAGAGCTGAAGGCTATCCGAGAACAGAGCTCTCTTGATAACTATCTGTTCCCTAGTATGGAAAGACTCCTGCTTGGTACAACAGGCCTTAGATCAGGTCCACAGGGAGCAAAACGCAGCTGCAATACTCACTACATCAGGTCATCTCTACGTGGCAATAGCTAAGCGTAACTCAACACGAGACGTGGTTCCTTTTGTGGCCAATAGCAAAACTCTTGTGGTTTCAGTACTCCAAACCAGTCATACCAAATTCACCAGCCACAAGCACCAGTGCTGACCCTGCAGAACAGCCAGCGTGAACTTCTGGTGGCTGGTGGAAGAGCTGGAGGTCCAGAGAAACAATGAGAGTTCCCTTTTATACTCAAAACTTTGGGTGTCAAGCATAACTGCTACCAACCCATCTACACCAAAAGTAGGTATTCTCAGCTGGAAAAAACCTGTGTCCTGGGAACTGCTGATCTGCTGCCTCACAGAAACAGAGGAACCAACAACACTGTGCGTTCACATGTTTAAATTACACTGTCTGTCCCTGGCCTCAGCGGCTGCCATCAGTTGGTGTGGCAGATGCTGAGCACCTCCAAAGCAGGCAATTAACGTAGGTGCCTAAATAGGGATTTAGAAGTCTAAGGCTTGGCATTTCCCATACACTCCAGCTGCAAGTGGTGTCCTCAGTCTTTCACTGACCCTTCAAGTCACTGTTTGTGTCTTTCAGGTGGCAGTTTGCTCATGCTTTCCTCCTTTCGGAGTGGCAAGTAAATGAATAAACTAAAACAGATCTAAAAATAGGTCACTTCAGGAATGATGGTGCAATCTGTACAAAGGCTAATGCCCAGGACAGGTATATCCATCATCGTGATTCACTGCTGGCTTTTGCTTACATGTTTTACTTCATTTTTTTTATTGCAGTCATACATAAACAATAAAAGTAAACAAACTTTCCAGATACCAGCTGTGACACCTCTGCCTGCTTTTTCCTCCTTCTCCAAGGAAGATTAGAAGGGGAAATACCATCGTTTCTTCTACCTGTGAGCAGGACCCCTGCCTCCTGCCCCTCTGCCATGGCACCCGAGGTAACCTTTCAGGAGGATCCTGCCCAGCTCGGCAGGTTTGTCTCGCTTTGGGAGCAGCTAGCCAGATTAGACAAGATCACAATTAAAAACTCTCACCGTTCAGGGAGTATAGCTGACTCACCCAGCTCAGGAACTCGCACTGCCCCCGTACATATGTTACCTGGATACCTCACTGTCTGCGACACGTTCAGCCTCCCAGTTCCTGCTACAAGAGGCGGCTGCCGGCACCCCCCCCTTCCACAGATGCACCATGGAGGCACGGAGCAGCCCAAAGCCAGGAAACCAGTGGCAAAGCAAGGAAATTAGCCTGCCTATTCCCTGTTCCAGCATCCAGTCTACAGCTCAGCTTTTAGACAGTGTTAATTAAGGGGGTCATGTCCATACAGGCATGGCTGGGGCTCTGACTGTAGCCACAACAGGGGCTAGCAGCCCCAGGAACGGCTGCACAGCCAGAAATTATGGTGTAATTTCAAAGGGAAAGTTCTGTAAGAAACGTAATCCGTATTTTTCAGGTGGCACACTGGCAGGGTGTGCCTCTTCGATTACCTCTCTGGGCATCAAACGCTATCATGTTCTCAGTGGGGCCGGAGTCTGGTTTCTAAACCAGAAAACAGTCTCCAAACAATTCTGGTTTTGTAAATTCTAAGAAGTATTTCATAAAATCAAACATTTTAGCTGTATTGCAAAGAGAGTTCAAATAGCATCACTACAAATTCTGCCTGATACAGACTAGCTAAGTGGGTCTCAAGGGAGACACTTGACAGCACAGAAATCCATTCGAGCTCACTTCAGTCGTCCACACTCGTTCTGTGTGGCAGAGTGAAGGGTACCAGCACCTTCAAAAGGCTGCAAACGACCAGAGTAGAGATCCTCTCTCCATCAAAGAGGACACAGTTGTTATCAATATACAGCAACCACTTTTAAACAAAGCTGGTACACCCAGAGAAGAAATACATACAGCGGTAACAGTGCCAGTGGCACGGACAGGCTTTTGCATCCCCCAGTGTTTTCTTCTGTTAACAGCTGACACATTTTTAAAAATCCACCCCTTATCATTACTTGTTATTTTTTAATTTTTCCCACTAACTCCCTTTTCACATGATTACACCCTCAGCTCAAGTTTAACTAGCTTCTGCTGCGCTTGCTTTTTTCCAGCTTCCACTGTTAGCTTTGGCCTTTGTTCCCAGCACTCCCCCTTACCTAGCTGAGCAGGGTTTTGTGACTTCAGTATTTCTTGCCTGTGCTATCCAGAAGGGCTCCTTGGCTTTTCAGATGGTCTAGCACACCGAGCTACCCAATCACTCCTAACACACCCACCCTGCAAATGCCGCCACCTCTGGAGAGGGCCTTGGTAATTGGAACAGAAATAGGAACCCTGCACAATAGAGAGCATTTTAAGCTGTAAACAACGTTCTCTAGTTGATACTGCACCTGAAAATTTAGGTGGACAAAAGCCTGCGATTTATGGAAGGCAGCAGGTAAGCGCTCCTCCTCCCATGAGAACCTCTATGAACATTTCCATGTCTCTGAGCAAGTCCTTTGCTGTAAAACACCCAGACCACACCACCTCCCACCACACTCTCCCCGCCCCTCGTCTTTAAGACTGTCAATTCAGCTCTGGCCTAAAACATTACCAATTACATCCAAAAAGCCACTTCTTGCTGCAAATGCACCATTCCTGTCAACTTCCTGGCTGAATATTAAGCCATCCTATGACTTCTAGCTTCCAAGGATCTAACATAATCATGGCTCAAAGAAAATGAAACTAGAGTCAGTAAGAAGCCACCAACCCATGATGCCGTGGGCAACTTTTGGGCAACTGTGTAGGAGTTATTCTTTATCAGACAAGACCCGACAAAAGAGTGCCACGTGGAACAGTCACAGCTATGAAGCACTGACGTACAGCACTTCTCCAGAAACACAGAATTGGGATAAAACCATACCTTGCTCTCAAAGACCTGTTTGGCCGATACACAGAACCAGGCTGTGACCCTGCTTTGAGAAGTGGGTTGGACTACATGATCCCCATGGATCCCTTTCAACCCGAAACGCTCCATCATTCTACAAATTATTTGGAGACCAGAGCAACAACCGATTGAGGGGCTGGAAAGAAACATGTGTGCATGAAAGGATCTTTCACTTGTTTCCTGATGTGCCAAAATAAAACCAGGATGTGATAAACTGACAGCTCCTCACCTTGAAGCTACTCTCCTACCATTTCTTACTCCTGCTCTGTAGCGATCTCGCTGCAGTGAGCAGCAATGATTCAGAGCCAAGAAGCCTGTCACTGGAGCAATCTGCTCTCACCACTTCCACCTAGAGCATATTGGTGGGTCAGCCCTGAAAGGAAACCAGCACTACTACTACTCCTTACCTTCCACTATGAGCCACACTTGCTGTGATTCTTCCTTCTTCCCCCCGTTCTCAACCTGGCACCAGTACTTCCCAGAATCTGTCCGCTCGACGGATTTCAAGCTGAAAAAAGTCAAAAGCCATATGGATATTTTACGTGGATAAAGCATGTTTTTGCCCCCAAAGGACCCTCCAACGTTTGGCTAACCAGATGCATAGACAACACCCAGGAGGAGGACAGCTAGCCAGCACAAAGCGTGGCAAAACAGCAGAGACGGGAGGCTCCTCTCTCAAGCAGGTGGAGGGAATCCTCAGCAGAGCAGACAGCCTTCCTCTGAAATGTTATCACAGAACACCCGTCACTTGCGTCCTTTGAGGATAGGAAAGGATTGGTCATCTTGATCCCAAATCGTGGCTCTAGCTAGCCTTCAAGAGCGACGGCTTGGCCTACGATCTCTGAGCTAGCAGGAAACTCCAGATCCCAAAGCTCCAACGACCCCCGACTGATTTGCCTCAGGTAAGTGACAGGGCTGGTGACAGGCTCATACAGGAACAGATGGGTCAGAAAAGGCTGCCCCTCACCTCAACTGCACGTCTCATCCCAAGAGCACCTCACACTGCAAAACTCCTCGGGCCTCTCAATTTGTGATTTCAAGGGGTTATGCCGCCCTGCTCCTGCGTAGCAACTCACCCTACAAACTCTCCCATGCTCTCCCTTGCTCAGTAACAGCTCTCCTTTCTGAGAAGATGCATCCAAGCAGGGGAAGGCAGCCCCAGGGACTGAGCAGCATTCGAGTCACAGGCCTCCAGGTCAGGGGAGAAATTCTGCTCCTTGCTCCCCTGCTGGAAACCTGCCATACCCTCACTGCTGTTAGCAACAGGGGGCTGGCATGGTGAGTAAGGAGAGAATTTGGTCCCCAAGCGACAAGGTCTCAGCTACCAAAGCCACACCAGTGTGACACTGAGCATCTGTCAATGTACAAATGCTGATTGCCCCCCGAGGGATGTGCAGCCACGCATCGGCTGCCACGCAGGGATCCTCCGCAGACCTGACGCCCGCCTTCCGCCTCGGGGAAGGGGAAGAATGTCTCAGGAAGGAAGACAGAAAAGGGAGAGCCTCCGCTAAAGCGCAAACCCACAGTGGACCCACTACAGCCTGATTTTCAGAGCTGCACCTTCCAATGGCATCCGCTGTCCTGCCCACCCTGCCGCACACTCTGGAACGCAGCGATCGCAGCAGGGAGTCACACAGTGGGTGGTAGAAATGACTACTTTAGGAGAAGAAAGGAAAAAGGAGAAAAAGATATGGATACATGTAGGTTTAGCACCCTATACTTAGCCCTGGTGCTGCAGAAAGTTCTCAGTGGAGGAAAACAAGAGGTGAGAAAGGAGATCAGCCTGTGAGGGGCAAAGAGTTAACTAGGAAAACTGGGGGGAAGTAAATGGTGTAACTTCAAGACAAACTGTTTCCACAATGTGATGTTACACAGTAGTTTTACTGGGAACAGATTTTTTTCCTGTCAAAATGTTTATTACAGACAAGCTTTTATCACAGAGACTTTTGGTTGCTGCAATGTAAATCCAAGAGACTTAACAGGAGATGAAGCTGGAGCTCAGGGAAGAGTGATTCTCAGTCAGTCAACAGTTTTGAGGCCTCACCGTGATAGCACACTTGCTTGTACAAGCTCCCTTTATGCACAGAAAAAGGCAGAGCAGAATCTTGAGTCTTGTTTAACTCGATACTTCCAGAACTAGCTGACATCTCCCCTCCTGCTGAAATAAAAGGCACAGAGAGCTGCTTGGCAGAAGAGAGTTTTTGTGCCTCTGAGTGGGGCAGGACTGCTATCGTGCAGTGTAAATGCATCAGGAAAGTCTCTGCAAAATGACTCAGGGAGGGTTCAGGTGACGAACACTCCTCCCCAAAGAAAGGAAGGGGATGTAGTCTTGGGAGTTTAATTTCAACTAACAGCCCTCACCCTCCAGACAGACTGACAGCTCAAGAGAAAGGAAGAGAAGAAAGTGAGAGAGAAAAACGATTTAGTTTTCCTGGTTCACGGCAGAACAAGATGAACAAACAAGCCAAGAACATCCTTTCACCTTGAAGTCACATCTCAAGCACCACAAGCATTAGCAAAGCACCAGTCACCACAGTAGTCAGGAAGCCAATATGGTTCTAGTGCATAAAATCTCAGCCCTCGGTGGCTTCAGTTCCGCTCTCAGTTATGCCCTTGCCATGTGCTGAACTGCAGACCCGAGGACCCTGCCCCACCAAGGGCACTGCAGTGGCATTAGATATAGCTGACAGCAGAAAACTGTGCAATAGTTTCCACGACACTCTTCCTTCTCTGCATCTGTTGTACCTGAGGAAGCCGATCCAGTGCTCTTCATCTACTGGAATGTACACCTGGTCTACGCTTTGCACCACTTCTCCGTCCTTGATCCACAACATCTCAGGATCTTCCATTCCCTCGAGGCTGCAATTTAGTTTGACGGGTTGACCCTGGGACACCTTTAATTTGATTGGAGATCCTGTAAATTTCATACCTAAAAAAAAAATACTACTCCGCCCCACCCCCAGAAGAAGGGGGGTTGGAGTACAGCAAATTACTCTAGGTTGGTGGTCTGGAGTTACACACCCTACCAGCACACACTGCAGAGGGGTCTGTTAGTCTCGGCACTGCTCTACTGCCTGCTAAGCGACAATTAAAGGCAAGCACTGAAAGCGCGATTTCTGGAGAAAAGTGGTGGCTCAGTCCATACAGGGGGCTTTTGTCAACTCAGGTAAGAGCAGGGTGAGCATCCGCAGAGCAGTGCCCAGACAGAAACGCCGGGAGCTTCGTCGTGTCAGTGATCCAGCTCTGCCAAGTGTGTTCGCTCAACACCTCACCACACCTCCCTCCTTTTCCCCAGGCTTGAATTTCAGCTACGGTGTTCCTGTGCTGCTAAGAAATCATCGTGCTTGCTCCATTGTATGCATTTGTAAAGAGCCGGGATACGAGAAAGAATCAATTATGCCTCGTTATTCAGCATACACTGTTCCTCCGCATTACAGACAGCTTCTCTGCAATTTGCAAAACCCGTGAAAAGCAAAACCCTATTCCACAGCATACCTCGCCGAGGAGGAGAACTGTTTACAGAACAGATATTTCTGTCTGTGTGACGTGGGCGGCTCAAACCAGCCTCCCCTGACCCTTCAGTCCAGTCAAAGGACCACGTTATACTCAGAGCTATGCAGTTGTGACCCCAAAGCAGCAAGGGCCAGAGTCAGTGGAGCTGCTCGGGTTCACATTGACACAGAAGTGATCAGAGTTTGGCCCGGAGCACTCTTACATGTGTGGGTGGATGGGGAGTGTTTCCCTCAAGCAGAAGCGAATATATGGAATGTGTTACCATGAGAATACACGGAAGCCAACTATATAAGCGCATTTAAGGAAGAAAGGAGGAACCAGAGGATCAAAGGAGACCGTGGGAAAGCAAGAAGGTGGGAAGTAAATGTAAAGCTAGTTTTGTTAGGGAGAGTGGCCATTTCCTATGCAGCGGCACTGGACTGACAGACCAGAACAGGTCTAGCCTAGTTCAATATTATGCCCTGACAGTGGCCTTCACTTCCTTCAGAAACAAAATGACTCCACATCACTCTGCTGCCCTTGTAAGGCCATGTATCACCAATACATTACAACTTCACCCAGTTCACCGGCTGGTCAGCTTCTCACAGGATGTCTCGTTAGCCCACAGAGCCACTTGTGAAACCCAGAGCTGCTAAGTAAGCAGCCCTGTTGCTCTCAAACTCTGTTACAGCCTGACCGGTGGTCAAATACTTCCCCTTCTTGCCAACACACCACCACCCTCCCACAGCTCACAGGGCAGCCCAGCAGCAGAGTTACTCGCAGCATGGCTGGAATAGCTGGGAGAAGAGGGGAGCCAGCACTGTGCTCTGCCACCGGCACCCAGCAGCGCTCCGCTGGTTCCAGGAGTGATCCCAGAACACAGGCAGGAGGACTTTATTCCTCTCCTTAATGAGACTCCCCCAGCCTGTGACCAGCTAGTTTCCCACACTCAGTCTTTTGCCTTTCTATCTCCGCTGTTATTAATTCAGCAAATTCATAGAGAGCATTGAAAAACTGCTAAGACGATCATTTTAGTTTAGTTGCTACAGCTCGTTTGCCGGGCTAAGGATTTAATCACCTTGGGTGAGGGTGACTTAACCTCGCATTACTTAACTCATCTGTAACACAAATTACATGTCCCAGTGCATGCCAGAAAGAATCCTCCCTTTCGCCACTAACGATATTGGAATAAAACATGAAAGCTTCACAGCAGCTCTCCCTGTGTTAGAGAAAACTGATGTAGCCAGGCTGCTGAACACACGCACAGACTGACAGACACTGTCACTACAGGTGCCCTCCTGGAAAAGCAAACTACTCAGCCCTCCTCAGACTGCCCTGCTGAAAGTTAGCCACAAATTAAAGAAGTGTTGTTAGGAGACCCTTGATGGTTTTCAGTTCCCATACAAGTTAATGATGGGGGAAATTAATACACAGTACAAGTGTTCAGCCCGAGTTGTAATTCTCCACATCGCCCAAGTATAATCCCTCCATCAAGATCAAATGAAATGAAGAAATACAATCAGGCGTTTTTAATAAATTCACAGGTTTTCAACAAAAAATACGGTTTTAGCTGCAGCATCTCTTCCTGCAGGCATCGGGAAGAAGCACATCGGGGGGCAATACGGATTTTAATTTCTACCTATTCCTCCTTCTACTCTCCCACTCACGATTTCTCATCTGATAATGCTCTTGCCAGCGCATGAAATAATCTCATCCGAACAGGCTCCTCCAAGACTACCTGTAAGAGCTGCAGGAGTTGAGACATCATAGCTGGGAAATAAAATTATATTACATTTCTTATCAACCAGTTGTCAGGCAGAGTTGACAGCAAACAAACATACTAGCTGTCAAAATACGTTACATACTTGTTTGCTGGGTTTTTTTTTTGGTTTTGTTTTTAAACTTGCCAGCTTTGAATGATTCCTAGGCACAGCAGCATGCTCTTTGGGAAGTTATTTGGGGAGTGGAGAGAGAGAAAGGAGTCTACCAAAAGGCACAGCAATATGCTCTTTGGGAAGTGGAGAGAGAGAAAAGAGTCTACCAAAGCACGCCAAGGGAAGGGTTTTTCCTTCCTCAAGCTCCTCGGGACCCTGATCTAGCGACCCCCCCTCCGCCAGAGCCCCACCATCCCGGTGTCACCGCACGCACATCGCTCCGCGGGCACCGCGGATCCCCCCCCCGCTCCCGGGGAAACCGGCGGGCGGCTCCCCCGGGCACCCAGCGGCTCTCACACGCCGCCTCGGGGGTGAAACTTGGAAAAATGAGTTCAGGAGGGAAAGAGAAAAAAAAAAAAAAAAAAAGAAAAAAAAAAAAAAAACCCCAAAACCCCAAAAACAACAGACACTAAAAGTATAAAAGTTCTCTCAAAAAAAAAAAAAAAAAAAAAAAGGCAAAAAAAATAATAATCCCCAAAACCCCAACAAAAGCCCCTCAGGAATGCGTGAGCGCCCGGCTTTCCTCGGCGGCGATCCGCGCCAGGCGAATAGCAGGGCAATGGCTCCGCAAACAACGAGGAGGATTATTTGGGCTGCGACTCACTCACTCCTCTTCTACTTGCGGGCGGGAGCAACCCCCCCGCACACCCACCG